GAACTGAATTCTTTAAAACAAAATGGCCGCCAGTCGGCCATTTCGAACCCGATCCAAAAAAAAAAATGACGTGCATCAAGGTCCTATTATGTTTAATGTATGTACCAAATTTGAACAAAATCCGTCCATGCATAACTGAGATCCGGGTCCGGAATGGTGAAAATGTGCGATTTTGATGCATTTTCGGCCTTAAAATGGCCGCTATTCGGCTATCGTTAATCGGATCATGAAAAAAATGCATGTGCATATGTCCCATATAATGTGTGATGTATGAGTGAAGTTTGAACTTAATCGGTCCATGCATGTTCGAGATATAGGTGATCACGGACGCACGGATGGACGGACGCACACAGGGCAAAACATAAGTCCCCGTTTTCGGACTGCGTCCAAACGGGGACTAAAAATGGCCACCGGACAGCCATTTTGAGTCCGATCTGAAAAATAAAATGATGTGCATCAGGAACCCGTAATGTCTAATGTATGTACCAAGTTTGAACGAAACCATCCATAAATGCCAGAAATGCATGATATTTGATGATTTTTTTTAGCACAAAAATGACAACCATTCGGCCATTTTGAATAGGATCGTCAAACCAATGTCTATCTATGACATGATGTATAATGAATATTTAAAATTTGAACATAATCAGTCAAAACAAGTTGGAAATATGGGTCTAGAAGCCCATTCATTAAAACAAAATGGCCGCCAGTCGGCCATTTTGAATGTTATCTGAAAAACAAAATTATTTGCATCAAGGTCGCATAATGTCGAATGTATATATCAAGTTCGAACAAAATCCATCTGTAAACAGCCGAGAAATGCTTGATTTTGATGATTTTTAGTACAAAAATGGCCGCCATTCGGACATCTTGAATCAGATCGTGAAACAAATTGACGTGCATATGTATGATATCATGTATGATGTATGTGTGAAGTTTGATTGTGATTGGTCCAGGCATTTCTAAGATACAGGTCCGGATGCACGCACGGACACACGGAGGTCAGAACATAAGTCCCCGTTTTCAGACTTTGTCCGAACGGGGACTAAAAATAGTGAAAGACGAGGCCCACGCCAGGAGCCCACATAAGGTGTTGCAATAGTGTAAATATAACAAAGCCAGACACCGATTGTTTCCTTTGCTAGGTGAAAACAATGTACAGAATACTCGGATGAAACAACTAATTTAAAGTAAACTAGGATATACTAGAGCCAATGAATTCGTAATTTCTGCCGAAAAGGGCCGAGAAAAAATACTCCTCATAACAAATCACCGTCATAACAAATCACCGTGTTGAGGGGCGGTGAACAAATGAGACACCGATTGTCAAATTGTTTTGGTAATCATCGCATGTGGATTAATTTCATTTGTACAGGGTGCTCTGACTCAAAAATAAGGTAAAACAGCCTACTTAGCAGTAATGATTTTGTGATTTCCCACACGAAGAACGTTCTGAGAAATAATCTGAAATGCTGATCAGCCCACCAACAATCGGCACCAAAATTTATCACAGCTGTCACGGTAAATTCTGTATGTTTTACGAGTTTTTTTTTCTCCGAATCCCAACACATATTTACACATGTAGGCAAATTTTGTCAGCTCTGTGTAAATAGATATTTTTACTGGGAATGTGCCCCATTTTACGTACGAGAAGCCCTTACCCAACGCAGTAGTCAATTTTACCATGAAATCAAACCTACCAACCATCTTCAACACTGCCATGTTTTTGACGATGAGGAATCTCACATTCATTATTTTCTTTACTGGGTCCACATAGGGTTCAAAGTACCGTGGCTTGAATGTAATTGTACACCACACGTGAATGTAAACTAGCTTGCACAGTAATTCGTTGCAGTCATTTAGGTTATACATTTGTTCAATTACTTATTTATTTATTTATTTATACGATAATAAAAAATCATACATGTAATTTCTTAGACTTTTTCATAATATAAACTGATACATGTCATCTCCCAGGCGTTTGCTTCGTTTTTGTACAACACACTGGAAATAACAAAATGGCTGACACCATCACAAATTGCTGGTCATAATCAAAGAAAGCTTAAAAAGAACTCCCATGTGCTGAGAGTATTGGAGACACATTAAATATAATTCGAAATTACTTAGCTGAAAACTAATTATGCAAATCAGAAAATTAATATGACCAGATTTGAGTGTAAAACTAATGAGGTCTGTGCAATGTAACAGAAAATCTATGTCTCCAAGTTTAATTGAAATGTGATTAGAACCAAAAAATTATGAATTATTATGCTTATTAGGGAATTAATATGAACAGATTTTTACCCCAAACTAATTACGTTTGTACATTGTCCTAGAGCATCTTTGTACTAAGTTTCATTGAAATGGAATAATTAGTACCGTGAAAACTCCAAAATTTCGACCCCTCTAAAATT